CCCCGGGCCCCCCCCCCCCCCTTCCCACCCACCACCAATATTGTGAACCAACCAACCAACGAGCCATCGATCGCTGCATCCATGTATGTCATGCTGGTTGCTTTTCATGGGTATAGGATGCGGTGGACGCCGGCTGTCGTGAGGAGGCCCTTCTGCGTCAGGAGTTTCACGCTGTCTCGCGGGCCGCGCACGAGCTTGGGCCGCGTGTCGACGAGCTCGCCATGATTCAGGACCAGGAGTGGACACGGGCAGAGGTCATTCGCCAGACACAGGTGGACTGACTGGACGACACCCCACACCCACACCACATGCGGAGACGGACGGCACCCACGGCTGTCCTGTGCTATGCTGTGCTGTGCTGTGCCTCTTCTACAGGCCCGTCTTCGTTGTTTTGTTGACGGTTTGGAGCGGCTGCAGGCCCACTATGAGAACGAGGGACTCGATGGGGATGAGGACGCCATGAAGCACAAACTAGAAGAGGTCCAGACAGACAGACAGACAGACAGGCAGGTTGCAAGGCAGGTCGGACACACAAAGCACACACCGTTCGTTCCTTTGCTCACTTTTTGTTTGTTTGCTGGGTGTGTCACCCAACCAACCAACGGCATAAATAATGAACGGCACACACACAGGTGCGGGCACTGCAGCGTCACCTGACGTGCTCTCAGGAACTGCTCACACTCGCGGCCGAAGTCAAAGGCATCAAAGAAGGGTTGCAGGTCAACCTCAGGACACGCTCACCCCGCCTCGCAGCTCATGTCACCTCGCTGCCTGTCTGCCTGTCAGGGCAACGACCCGCATGCCGACATTTCTGCGGCCATCTCCAGCTACCGCGACCGAATCAACGCCGCACTTGTTGATATGAAGGAGATCGGAGATATCACCGCCGACGCTGCCCCGGCCGACACGGCCGGCTACGGCCTGGTGAGCAGGTACCACGGCCTCAGCGGCATCGTCACCCCTGAGCGGGTGCAGGAAATGTGGGACCAGGCCACACGGGACACACCCATTACCACCACCACCACCAGCCAGCCCTCACACCAGCCGCCCCCCATTCCGTCTGATGGTCGCCGTCGGGTGGCCGAGCGGGTGGCGTCGGCGCCTCCTGCCTGCTGGGAGTGTTTCGTGCGCGGCCTGACGGTTCTGTGGGGTCTTATCGTGTGCGCTGTCCGGTGGCTGGCGTCGTCTGTGTGCGGTGCTGATGCCACGGGGGCCAAGCTGGCGGCGGCCAACAAGAGCGGCCGACACGGTGAGTGACCCTCAATGGATGGATGGATGGATGGCTCGTTGATTGTGCTATGTATGTGTTTAGACAATGAGTTGAACCGACAGGATGGCAGGTGTGGCGAGAGCGCGTCCGCAGAGGAGTGCGGCGAGCCCCCTCCCTCTCCCCTCGTCCACCCAGCCGAGATTCCCGAAACCGATCGGCACAAGCTGCACAACCCACCGCCGCCCGAGAAGACCCCCGAGGTCAGCAGCGGGGGACGAGAAGCCGAAGACCCAGACCACCCGCACACGCGCATCACCAGCACCAAGTCGACACCATCATTCACGACCCCCCTGCCCATCAAACAACCTCTGCAAACCGCCAGCAAGAGCAGCAGGGTGCCGGCGCCAGCACCAGCAGCACCAGCAGCATCGGAGACTCGGTTGCTGTCTGCCGTTGACGAGGGGGGCAAGGCTGGCTCGAGCAGGGTGAGGAGGGCAGAGGTGGGTGGTGGTGGCGTGAGGGGCATGTCGTCGTGTGAGGAGCGGCTGTACGCCAAGTGGTACGAGTCCGACCTCCTCCCTTACAGCTGGGCACAGATGGAGAGGTAAGTAGGTACGATGGATGCATGGATGGATGCGTGGGTGGGCCGCTTCCCTTATGTCAATGCATTCAATGCCTGGTTGTTTGTGTGTGTGTGTGCCGTGTGTATGGTGTTCAGTTTCTACGTGACGGGGCCATTGGTGTGGCGTGCTGACAACCACTTCACCACATCAATCCTGGTGGCATCAGGGTGAGCGACCGAGGCACACACAGACAGACAGACAGACAGGCATGCGCCAGACCCTACCACATGGTGCTGGTGTTGGTGCTGGTGGCTCCACTCATTCCCTCCTTCCCTCACTCCTTCCTTCAGGGTGCTGCTTGGGCTTTACATGATGGAGTGCCTCTACGCCGAGCCGCAGCCCATCAGACTCTGACTGAACTCACTTGGACTCACTTGCCCTGAAATGCTCGCTCGGTTGTTTCGAGCTAGCCATTTCTGAGACGTCTGTCGAGTCATTTCTGAGATATGATTCCTCATTCCTTTCGGTTCCGTGAGAGGCTGTGTGAGCAGATCAGAGGGGCAGCGGGGTCGGGTCTCGTCTGTGCAGCGATTATTTCTCGGTTGTGTATGGGTTGCGTGTCGTCACTGTCGTGTCGTGATGTGTGAAATAAGTAGGTATGGTCGCGCACTTCCCCGGCCGGCTGTCCAGTGGTGTGCAGTGTGTGGATGGATGGATGGATGGATGGAAGTGCCTTCATTGACACACTGCTCATAAGCTCGCCGGTGTCTGTGTCCGTCGGTGTCTTACGTCTAATGATACGATGTGAATAAAGCCAGATAGACTCGGCATACATCAATCCACACACCCAGTCACCCAGCACCCAGCAGAGGGAACAGCTCTCCCAGAACGAACCGAGTAGCCTGCTCGTAGGGTGCAAACCAGCCCCCCTTATCAACACTCGCACGGCACACTTCAATCGCACACCCACCCTCGCACACCTCACTGTATCTACTGGAAACCCATGCCTCGAGAGCATGTGCGTCACCTTCCCGTCCCAATATGCGCGCTCTGCAGCCACTTGCTTCCTGAGCAGCGAATCTCGCTCCTGGTCCTGCCACTTCAGCACCTGTAGCAGCTGCTCGCTACGCTCCTGCAAGAACTTTGGCAGCTCCTTGTCTCGCTCGTCTAATACCTGCACGAACTTCTGCAGCAGCTGCTCGATCAGCTGCTCGTCACGCTTCTGTAGCAGCTCACTGATGACATCCCGCAGTTCGTTTGCCTTGTCGGGGTCGATGGCCCTCGCCAGCTTCATCGCCGCTGATCGACAACACACACAGATGGGAGCGTGAGCGATGCCGGCGGCTGTTTAGAGTCATTGTACCGTCTTCGTAACTTTGGTCAGCCGAGGGGGTGGCTTCGCCGCTTGAGGTCTCCGCAAAGAGGCGGCCCAATGGCACTGACGAGGCCTGAGGGAGAGAGAGAAGGAAGCGGTGGATCAATGGCAAACCAACAAACGACACACGCCCATCTGTCTCGTGTGTGCCCACCGGCGGTGAATGGGAGGGCGTCACCGACAGCGGCGTCTGAAAACACAGAGTGGCCATGACAGGTCGGAGGCTGTGTTGTGTTGTGTTGTGCTGTGTTGTGTTGTGAGCCGTGTACCAGGTCCTAGCACAGACGAGCCACACAGCCGGGACGCACCTGCACACAAGCCCACACACGATTCACAGCGAGCCTCCGAAGTCCGCCCCTTTGTGCCGTACCTGAGCCGCCGCTACGAGTCGCCGGCGGCCGAAGAGGGACGAAGAGCGCCATATGGTCTGCGGACAAGACACACACCGAACCCACAGGTGGGATGCAGCCGATGCAGCCAGCCTTCTTGTGGCTCGGTCGGTGCCTGCCCTGCCGTGCCCACTGACTGACAGCACACCTGTGCTGTGTGCGTGGCCGACCACCAGAGAGCAGAGAAGCAGCGATAACACAGCGACGGCCAAACAGATTATCTGCTCTGTGGATCTCCGATTCGGGAGGAAGCCAGCCGGGAGGAGGGGAGCGGTTTTGTCGATTGCTCGGTGGGTGAATCGGGGATGGGTTCGCGGAGGGGAAGAGATGATAAGGCTGGGGATTTGGCGAATGAATTCGTTTGATCTGCAAGGACGCCAAGTTGATGTGATCACACCTGTGACTCCATCGTACCCCTTTTTCTTCTCCTTTTTTTCCGATGTTTTTTGCGAGCTCAGGTGCGACGCATTGCGAGCTTTTGAGCAAACCCAAAGTTGCGAAGAGACCGTGATTATGAGATGAAGATAGATGCCACACAGCCTTGTCGTATCCCCATGTATCGTCGCTGTTAGCGCGGGCGGCGAGTGAGTGAGGATCATGGCGACGTCGTCGAGCCAGGACTTCCCGGCGGTCATAGAGTTCCAGGTGCGTAACTTCTGGCGCCTGGCCAAGAACCAGAACGATGTCGAGAGCCCGCAGATAGGCCACTGCCGAGGCTTCCACTATCGGTAACCTTACCACACACTCAAACTCACGCACGAGGGGAGGAGGGCGGACGGAGGGAGGACATCACACAGGGAGGCAAGCCAGCACACCAGACAGCGTGTGACGCGACGAGTGGTCGTGTCGCTCTCTGAGAGGGAGCGGGGTGGTGTACCGTATTGTGTTTGTTGTCGGTGTGACTACTGACGGCTGGGTGTCTTGTGCGTGCGCGCACGTGTGTGCGTTGTGTGGCGGTGAGTGTCTCATGTATGTGGGTATGGTTGTGTGTGGCTGCATGCAGGTTGCTGATTCACCCGCGCGGCACCGCCGGAACGGACAGTGAGTGCTCACACCTGTCCGTTTTCCTCGAAGCCGTCCGCCAGGACTGGTACACACACAGAGAGAGGGAGAGGGCGGTGGTACTCGGGAGGGATGGGAACAGACAGGTCGATTTGTGTTGTGTGGCGTGTGTGCGGCTGACCCACCAGGTATCCTGACGACTGGGTGTTCCCTAATGTGCGTTTTGAGCTGACGGTGGTCAACTTCAAGGACCCAAAGCAGTCCGTCACATCATGGGCACACTGGAGCTTCTCAAACGGTACGGTATACACATACATGTCGTGTGTCTGACACATACCCGCCCAGAGAGAATGGATGGATGCAGTCAGCGACGCACGTACACGTCTTCCTCTCTGGGTGTGGTGTCAGATGCGACGAGTCGTGGTTGGCAGAAGATGGTGTCGCACAGCCGTCTGACGCGGCAGGCGGGTTTCCTGGACGAGGACGGCACCGTGCTCATCAAGGGCAAGGCCGAGCCTCCCTACCAGACCCTCTGGTCGCGCCTCCCCAGGTACCGCCCCCGGGCCTTCTTCGAGACCATCCCGCCCCTCCCACTCACCACCACAGCCGCCGCACAGGCTGCCAAACACGACCACAGGGGTCGCGACGGCCTCGGCGGCCAGCACGACCTCGACGCCGCCCAGCGCGCCAGTGTGTCTGCCCTTCACACGGCGCTGCACACCGACTACCTGACGGTCGTGCTGCACCTCCTCTTCCACATCAAGGAGTTCCGGCGGGAGATCTTCCTGTGGAAGAGCGAAGGAGGCGCCGACGCGCCGCCCAACGGCCCCCCGTCGCGCGACTCGCCCCTCATCGACTCGCTGCAGGAGCTGTTCGCCCAGCTCCAGACGGCCCCTTTGATGGGGACGTCATTCCGGCGTCCGGGGAAGGGCCACCAGCGGCCGTCGATGCCGCCTGTGTCGGGGGTGTCGTCGAGGCTGAGCGGCTTCATGGGCATGAACGTTGTCGACATTCACGACCTGCCCTCCACCAAGAAGATTCTCCAGGTACGTCATGGCTGCCAACAGCCGACGGACCGACACAGCGAGGATGACGGGCGATGCTCATTCCATCATCCATCCATCCATGTCTGTCATGTGTCTGTCATGTTGACAGGCGCTGACTTTGAGCTCGCCCGATGCGGTTGATTTGGAGGACCCGCTGGCGAGGATCCACCAGATGCTTTTCGGCAGCCTGCAGAAGGAGGCGTCGGGCACTGCCATTCGCGGCAACAACATGGCCATCACACTAGAGGCGACCAGCCTGGACAACACCTGCAGACTCCTCTTCTCGCACAACATCGAACAGGACAAGTAAGGCGGGTGTCTGTCTGGCGTCACTCGGCCAGCCAGAGAGGACAGACAGGACACTAGCAAATGGAACACACAAGTGATGTCTGTTGGTTGATCTGTGTGCTGTGTGTGTGCTTCATTCATTCAGGGACGATGCGGGTGACTATTCGACGTGTTTCCTCCGTGCCCGTCACGCCCACTCGATGCCCAAGGCCCTGGAGCCGTCCCACCGCAAGCTGCGTCGCTTCCCAGAGGTGCTCTTCATCTACCTCGCGCCCGTGCGGCAGTGCAAGAAGGGCGAGCTCTTCGACGTCCCTCTGCGGATGGACCTGGCCTCTCTGCTCGAGGTAGAAGGGGGTGGCGGTCACCACCCCTCCAACAAGGCCGACCTGGGTGGCGGGGGCGGGGGCGACATGAGCAAGGGCAACAGGGACAAGGACAGGGCCAGGAAGAAACTCAGACGCAAACTCAAGATGAAGAGAAACAAAAAGAACAAAGGTCAGTCAGCCTGGCAGTCAGTCAGTCACTCAACTCGTCCGAGTAGCCTGTCCGTCCGTGTACTGTCCGTTGTGTTGTGTTGGTGGCTTTCTCTTCCTGTGCAGACGTTGAGGATGCCGATGGCGACGAGTCGGACCTGTCTGACGAGGAGATCCCCCTCTCCGACGACGGCACCGACGGCGCCACGGCGCGGCCGTCCACTGCCGCCCAGAAGCCGACCGAGAAGTGGTACTCGCTGTACGGTGTGATCATCCGGGAGGGTGGTGACCCCGCGAGCACCACCGACCAGCGGCACTACCTGCTGCTGCGTCCCGAGGAGGAGGGGCCGTGGTATCGCATCGCCGACGACCGTGTGGAAAAGCTGACGCCCCGTGTGGACTTCACTGAGTGGAAGTGCCACCGGGACTTCTTCTGCGCCGGAGGGGTGTACGTCAGTGAGGACTACATCGACTCAATCAGTGCCGGGGAGGTCGACATCGACACGGACCTCAAGTCGCTCAACCCCAGGTAGGTACCGGCCACCCACACATCCATCCATCCATCCAGCCGTGCACCGAAAGTGAGAAGCAGCATGTCTGTTCTTGTGCTCTTGTCGCGTATGGATGCAGGCTGTGGAAGGCCACGCTGGATCAGCTGGATGTGGACGACCCGACGGGCGACGAGCCATCTGCCGCCCCGGCCCGCGAGGCCTCCCGCGCCCCCCGCGACGCCGATGACGTCCTGACAGCCGACGACCACGCTCGGTACACGGAGCCCCTGGCGCAGGCCGTGAGACACAACGACCTTAAGGGGGTACGGTCGGTCCTCACGCGCGTCATCATCGAGCGCATCGCCATCGCCAACGCGCGCAGCTCCGACGGGCTGGGCGGGGGCGACAGAGGGCTGCTTGGCCTGGACCCCTTCTATGACCTCGATGAGCTCAACGCCCGGTTGGACCCCTCCGTGACCTCTCTGCTCGAGCACATCCGCACCATCAAGAGGGACGTGGACGACTTCCTCAAGCGGGGCCGCACGTGTGGCGTGGATGACGCCTCCACCGATGCAGGGACGGCACATGAAGCGGACGGCGTGAGCGAGCCACCGCCCGAGGTGACCCCCACCCCGTCCACCCACACGCCCTCATCCCCAGACCGCCAGAGACGGAAAGACGGCCGCAGAGCCCCACACCCCGCCCCACACATACCATCAGCAGCCAGGGCAGCCAAGGCGGCCGGGGCGCCCGACACGGCCACTGCGCCCGAGGAGGAAATGCCCATTCCCGCGTCCTGGGACGAGCAGATCGACTCGCGCATGTGCGACCTCTACAATGCGGCCAAGGACTGCTTCGAGAAGGCCGTCGAGGCCGCGGCGGGGTTGGGTGGCGACAGGGGGGGCTTCACGTGGGGCGGGGTGGAGAAGTTCATGTCTCTGCGGAAGCTGGGTCCTTTGCCGAGTGCGGTCGAGATGAAGAATGCCATCGTCAAGTGCGGCGAGGCGCTGCCCGACAAGATCACCAACCGTGAGCTCATCACCCGCTACCTTCAGACCCTCCTCCCCGGCGCGTCGGCGGCATACCTCGAGAAGATGATCGCATCCACGTCACCATCGCTGCCACGCACCGCCAGGGGCATGCCACCCGACCATTCAGAGTCCACGTCGGCCGACCCAGGCAAGGCGGGCAAGAAGGGCGCCGGCAAGGCCAAGGGCGACGCCAAGCAGCGGCAGAGCGTCGACCCGGCTGCGGACGCGACAGACAGTCTGCTAGCGGACATCCTGTGTGCATCCATGTGTCTGGCCATCGAGTGGGAGGTCGACGCCTACCTCAAGAAGGCCGCACTGAGGGAAGAGGGCGGCGATGACCAGGTCGAGGACGTCTACCTGACCCCGCCCCAGCCACACAGACCTTTCTACGGCGCTGGTGTGGGGTCGGCCCTGCAGCCCCTCGCCACGGAGGCCTTCTATGGCAACGAGTCGGGCTCCCCGCGGCCCCTCTTCCCTCCCCCATCATCACACGACCCCATCAGTGGCGGCGGGGTGGGCCTGAGTGCGTCAGCCACGCCGCGGGAGGGCGACCTGGCGGCTCGATTCACTGAGGACAAGATCGACCAGCGAGTGGCCCACAACTGCGACCCAGACGTGTTCGTGCCGCCACCCACCAGCAGTGCCAGTGCTAGTGCGAGTGCGGCTGATGTGTCGT